AAATAACACTTTTCAACTAGCAGTTGCCATTTTTCGCGACGTATTGTAGAACGGCCCTAACTCATACCATCAAACGGATATGATTGCTCGCGACTCATGGAAGCAGGAATTTGAATATGGTAAAAATTGCCTTGGATTCTTTGAGTGGGCATTACTGCAAGGAACACATAAGAGAGAATACAAATATTAAAAATTTGATGAAAAAATCCAGCCAAAGTGATGACTGCATTTAGTATTACCTCTCGTATTGTTGTTTGACCTTTCATACTGTTGTTTGAGGTATTCTAGTGGAGAGATGTTATGATGTCTAGATGAACGTTCAAAAGAAAGTACTCTTTTAGCCGAATTCCTTGGAGGTGACTCATTGACCTGAGTGTTCTGAGTACAATCCCTTAGCTGTGATTCACTGACTTGGCGGTTTCTCTGTGCATAAGGAGTAATCAGTAAGTTAGAGTCTGGATTAAAATATTTCATATTGTATTACGTGATGTAGAGTCGTCAGATATACACAGTGTGACAATTTTCCACCTAGACTTTCCTCATAAAATCCAAACAATTCAATATTTTTTAAAACTCTTTACTTGTTATTCAAAGTATTCCTCTTCCGTATCTATACACTTTTGACAGCGACTCAATAGCGATTCAAATGAGTGGTACATACATGTCCTCGACCGGTACTGCCTTTAGTTGTCGCGTCGCCGCAGTTTTAATGGTATCTACGTTCTCGAAAAAACAACCCTTAAGTACTAATTTCAGTTTCGGAAACAGAAAGAAGTCACACGGTGCCAAATCCGGCGAATACGGCGGGTGGTCAAGAACGCAGATCTGATTTTTCGCTAGAAATTGGCGTACAATGCCATTATGAGATAGTGCGTTGTCGTGCAACAACGAATCGAGCACAGACCATCCTTTTGCCCAAATCCTCCGTAATAATTTGGCGGACTGTCTCTCGGTTGATGTGCAAGTTCTCAGAAATCATCCTGACACTTGCATTCTCATCGTCGGCTAGGTAATCGCCAACTTTTTTTATTGTATCGGCAAGTTTTATTGTATTGTTTGTTGCAAGTTGTTCGAGGCTTCCCCGTTTATCGTCTTCAAGTAATTCGCGACCTTCGCGAAAATGTTTATGCCAATCGAAAACTGTTGCTCGGGATAAACACTCATCGCCATAGACTTTTTTCATCGATTCAAATGTTTTTGTGGCATTTATGCCTGATTTAGCATGGAATTTTATGACACTGCGTTGTTCCATTATAATTTTCCGACACAACTCTTTTTTGGGCTGTCACGTAAAATGTCATAACTCAGTCATCTTACATGGCACAGCGTTCCAACTTTGCTTAACGTATAGAAGACATTCCCACCTTTCTAACGATATATAGTTCTGACAGATAGCGCCACGCTTTTAGGCGGGAGATTTAAAGTCTGGGTGGAAAATTGTCATACACACTGTGTATTATACAGTTTGTTTTTCATTTTGTTCATAAAACAAGTCGGTTTTGCAGATTTTTTCAAAGGCATATAAATACGTGAAGTGTTCTGTAAAAAAGGCGACTTCTCTACAGACGAGTTACTAGACTTCTGCTTTGGCAAAGAATCCATCAAACTGCTAGAACTCCCACTATATGGTCTCCAGTTCAATATCCTGATTATTTTTTACTACTTTCTTATTTTCTTTGGGGATATCTTTTTTGTGTTTCTGAGAATGGTAGATTTTGGGGGAAGATGGCAGAAAGGATCGTGCATCACTTTTATCTGGTTCTGAACTTGATTCATCCAAACGCTTCGGTACTTTCGTCTTGCGTTTGGTCCTTTCCTGACATTCAGGAGCTGAATCAAAATTCTCAGTCTCGACTGTGTTAAGTCAGAACTCCGGAATTTAGGTACATTGGTTCGACCGATAGCGAAGGAAAGGCTATCCGAGGGAGGGGGTAAAGGAAGACGTAACGAGATCTCTATGGTATCTCGGGTTCACGCTGAAAGGGCGCGTGCCTCGAGTCGAATGCACTTTTCGGGAAAACTCTAGTCGTGGGTCAACGTCCAGAAGGGACGCTATTACGCCTACTGAGAGTTTTCGTGCATTCGCGGTCCTGTTTTCGGTCAAGGATAATATCCCTATTACCGGGGATCGGACCTTGTGCGATTTTGAGAGCTAGTGAAGGATGAGGTCTTATTTATAAATGAATAAACATTGATTTTATTTTAATCAAATAATTAAAACATTTATTGTAAAAGGAATAGAACAAATATTTTTACAAATTAAAGAATCATTATTGTATATAATAATACGTGGAAGTGTGGTGTGTGTGTGTGTGGATTGACATTTGTCCTGGTACAAATTCGGAAGATCGGGGAGGATTTTTATAAAGATCGATATTCTGCTCGTCAACGATACATTTGGTGAGTAGATTGTGAAGAATAAGTGTTGACTATGTATGTGTGAATATATAAAAACGAGGGTTCAAACATTAATTTGGTAACATAGTTATCGGAATAAAATATTTAAAATTCTAGAGAAATAGTCAGTTATAAATTCATGATTACGTACGGGGCTATGATTACGATACAATGGTTGATTAGCAAATAGTTATAAATTTATACATTCATATACTATTTCTATAGTAGGGGATGGGGAACGCGGAGAGGATTCCTCGAGTACTTTGATACTCGAGTTGGAAAAGGAGGGAGAGGGTGATCGGTCACGATAGAGGGTGGTGGAACTAGTGGGGGAAGAAATTCCGTCGAAAGGAACAGGGGAGAAGTTGCAGGGTGATCTCTCCCGGGACTCCGCAAGTTTCTCGGAAGGAACTGGAGAGTAGGAAGGTTCAAAAAGGGGGGAAGATTCTGGGGTATTGGGGAACACCCAATACGCAAGGGAACAACAGGCAGATGAGGAAGATCGGGAAGAGGGAGAATCGGGGATAGCGAGTTCGATATGCGGAGACCGTTCGCGTCTTAGAAATGAAGCTAGGAGCTGTCGCTCCACTATGCGGGCGCGCCTGTTCCGAATTAGCCGATTGCGGATAATTATTCCCAAAGACTTGCGGCGGTGAATTTTTGACTTCACTAAAATTATTTTATGATTTTGAATTTGAAAAAAGAGGGAGTTTTAAAGACGATTTTATACTTATATATATAAATATATATATGTGTTCTCGTGTATGGTATTCACACATATATATATATATATGTATACTGTGACTTGGTTAGAGGGAGCGTGTGTGAATGGTAGCGGTGAAAGTGCGTTGTGTGATTTTAGCTTTGTTTCTGGGTTTAAAGATTAGTATGAGGCAAGTAGGGATAATGGAAAGATAGGGTGTAAGCAGGGGATGCGATGAGAATGAAGGGAGATAGTAGGACGCAAGTAGAGAAAAGTTATATAAAAGTATTTAGAGACCGTGGTAGGATGAGGTTATGGTGACGAGTCAGTTAGGCGGTATAGGCGGGAAAGGTAATGTAGGTAAAGTAGGGAAGGTTTCGATCGATGATTGTAAAGAAGATTGTATGGTAAATGATTAGCTAAGGAGCCTTCGGCCGTAAATTAAGTATAGGTTAAAAAGGTAGTTGAAAAGATGACAGGTTGAACTCAGAACACATGTAAATCTTAGATTGGGACAAATTTTAAACTAGGAAATATAGGATCAAGAATAAGAAGAGGAAAAAGAGGTAAAGGATAGAAAACAGAGGAGAGGACAAGGAGGTAGGTAAAAGAAGCGCTGTTATAGAAGAGGCTATACGAAACAAGGGAGGATTAAATGTGAAGAGGATTATCGAAGAAGGAAGAAGAAAAAGCAGTCGAAAATCTCTCGAGTTCCGGGTCAATGAAGATGGAAAGAAGAAAGATGAAATAAAGCTAGGACACAAGGATGGGCGGGCCTAGAGGTGTTCCAGGAAATGGAAAGTAAAAGAAGATAAGCATAGCTGAGGAAAGGTTAAGCCAACGATGAAGAAGAAATGAGATGAAAAGAAGAAAGGTATAGGAAAGCTATTGGCGTATTCCTGGAACAAGGATTGGCGAAACTTGTCTGCGTTGTAGGAAAGGAAAGGTAAAAGAAGGTGGAAATAGGAAAAGGAGTGAAGAGGACACGCAAGGCTTGGTGAGATAAGGAAAGGAAGAAGAAGAAGGAAATGCGGAAGGAGAAAAAATAGGAGGATATGAATGTTACAGTTTAAAGGACGCAGCAGTTTTCTGGAAATATTAGTATCTTTAGATAGCACGAAAGCGAATCTAGGTATATTAATTATGCACATCTGGCTGTTATAGGCCAACATTTAGAAGGGGCACTCTTATAAATAGAAATACCATCAAAATTAAAATCAAACAGAAGTTCAGTACTAAATTTTTCGTAAAATTCGTAATTTATTGCATATCCCCGTAGGGTTCGCAATCTACTACCAATACTATCCTTCTCCTCTCACTTTAACCCTTTGGACTAACGGCTTAACGTTTCTTTCCAAAAGACGGAGCCCAGTTTTCTCCGTACAAGAGCCTATCTTGCACGGAGGGGCGCAGCTATCGGAAAAACATTCCATGCTTACATGGCTCTAGTGGACTCGAACCTGGTTCCTCAGATTACGAGTCTGGCGCTCTACCACTAGACCACACTGCCGCCCTCAGAAGTTAAGTACTATTCACTACTCTATCTTTCTTCAGTTTTCTCATCTCTTTCAAAAAACCTAGGTGAACATATTGACCGTTTGTAAGCTCTTTCACGTGTACTTTGCGCTTACTTGTCATACGAAGTGTCTGCTGTTTTTGGTAGCTCTAGGTGACATTGTCTTAATATACTCAACAGATCAGAGGTCGCTTTCAACGTTATTTGATGCTTAACACTCCACTGACAAGGGAACCTCGCGAACTCAAAAATTCTGATTTTAATGAAACTTCCCACACATGTAGAAGAGGTAAAAAGATGAATTTAGAAATTTTTGTTGTTGCTCAAAAACGGTTTTAAGGGGAGAAACTACCACTCATATGTAGAGCGGCTTTTTGCTTTTAGATAGACTACGATGAATTCGACCATTTTGTGCTACATCAGATAAAGCAACTTCCGGTGGACGCTGAGAACAGTGGTGTCAGAAGTGGGATTAGCGGGATCAAAGCAAATCAAGTGAATTAGCGGAAGCAGAGTGTAATCGCAGCAAGAAAAGATGGCTCAGCCGCCGACAAACATCTCGTCAAAACTGCTGCAGGCGATATCCGCCATGATGGCAACGCAATCCAAGCATCGGTCGCGAATATGGGCACCAAAATATTTGGTAACGGATCCGCGACGACGGGCCAACAAAGACCACCGTCTTTCGCGATATCTGAATACCGTTCGTCTGAAAACACGACAGTAGCCGACTACTTTAAGAGATTCGAATAGGCGCTCGAGCTCAGTAAAATTTCGGGAAAGCAGCACGTTAATTACGCACGCGTCCACATGAGCTCAGAACTGAATAACGCGCTGAAATACTTAGTCAGTCCGCGAGTGCCGGAAGACCTTCCGTACGAGAAAGTGAAAACAACGCTGATCTCACATTTCGATAGAGCCCGGAACAAATACGCAGAGAGCATCAGATTCCGTCATATCGCTCAGCAAAGCAGAGAAACGATCGCCAGTTTCGCCTTACGCCTACGACAAGGGGCAGCACATTGTGAGTACGGAAAGTTTCTAGACGGGATGCTAACGGAGCAGCTACTTCATGGTCTGGAATCCCGCGAAATGTGTGACAAAATCATTGCGAAGAAACCGACATTTACGGAGGTTTACGAGATCGCAAGCATGCTCGAAGCGACACGGAAGACGACGAATGAAGTGAAGGAATCTGGCTCGTCGACTCAAGAAACTACGCACAAGTTAATTAGGATATGGTCCGCCCAAGTTAAAACGAGATAAGAAGCTACCGCATCAGCGTTCGTCCTCGCGTGGACGTAAGCAACAATCGAATTACCACAATTCATCGAATCGACAGGACTCGAAAGAACAAAATGACGGTAGTGTATGTAACGGTTGTGGGGGTAAGCACGCGCGAAGCGCGTGCCGTTTTCGTGACGCCGTGTGTCACTCGTGTAATAGAAAAAGACATCTCGCGAAAATATATAGATCGAAGGAACCGCGTACTGGAGACGCGAACAGTAGCGGCGCTGCAGCCAGCCGAAAATATAGACACGATTCGAGTTATCGACAGAGTGAACGCAATGAACGCGCATAACAAACACATGATTGACGTTATCATAGATGGTAAAATGCTTCAAATGGAAATAGATTCGGGTGCACCGTGCGGCATCGTGAGTGTAAATACGCTGCGTAAAATCAAACCGCGGTTCGCATTAGAAAAGACGAATAGACAGTTTGTTAGTTATACCGGTCACCAGATCCTGTGTATCAGTTGCATTCCCGTAAAGGTTACTATCGGACATACCACTCGTGAACTTAATCTTTTTGTGGTGAAAGGTCCTTTCGACGCGCTATTCGGTAGAGAATGGATCTCGCATTTCGTACATAAAATAGACTTTAAAAAACTTTTTTCCGCGCCGGAAACAGTGCATATGATCAGTACCGCCGTGCCGAGTTTAACGCAAGGTCAAAAGGCACAGCTAGATCAACTCTTGGCGAAATATAAAGATATTTTCAGCTCAACAGCAGGAACTCTTACTGGTCCACCCATATCGTTACACCTGAAGCCAGGTACAACACCAGTGTTCGCAAAAGCTAGAGATGAGATACTAATCGCACTCCGAAACGCATACGCAAAAAAAATAGATGCAAAAATAACATCAGATTTTTATAAAAGAGTAGAATCGTCTGAATGGGCTTTTACAATTTTACGTGGTCGTTAAGAAGAATGGTCAGCTGTGCACAGGGAACTACAAGCCCACTGTTAACCTTCACTTAATTATAGACGAGCACCCTATCCCAAAAACCGAGCATATATTCAGTCAACTAAAAGGGGCGAAATTCTTCTGTCATCTCGACATTACGGATGCGTATTCTCATCTCGTCCTTAATGAAGAATCTAGTCATGTATTAACGCTCAATACGCCAACGCATGGAATAATCCGCCCAGTCCGAGCGGTCTATGGATCCTCCAGCATCCCTGCTATATGGCAACGCAAGATAGAAACTGTCTTACAAGGTCTCGAAAACGTTAAGAATTTTTTTGACGATATGGTTCTTTACGCAGAAAATTTCGAAAGCCTACTAAAAATGCTGGATCTAGTTCTACAAAGACTCAGAGAGCATGGTCTACATCTCAATCGAGATAAATGTGTATTCGCGACATCAGCGATCAAATTTTTAGGACACAAAGTAGACTCTCAAGGAATACACAAATCGGATAAGCACGTTCAAGCTATCAGAAACGCACCAAAGCCAAGCACACCAGAGGAATTGCAATTGTTCCTCGGGAAAGCAACCTATTACAGTTTTTTTATCCCAGATCTATCAACAAGAAATTGTCCTCTTAGAAATATGTTACTCGTCAAGCCATACAAATGGACTCCAACTGCTGAGAAAGCATACGACAACATCAAGAACGTCTTAGTTTCTCCACAAGTTTTGATGCCATATGACCCAACACGATCACTATTACTCGCAACAGACGCCAGCAAGACAGGATTAGGCGCTGTTTTGTCTCATAGACTCGACAACGGTCAGGAACGACCAATCGCATATGCAAGCAGAACGATGAGCGCTACGGAGCAACGCTACCCGCAAATAAATAAGGAAGCATTGGGTGCGTTCAGCCGATACTCCGCTAGCCTAGCAATCGTGAGCAGTCGCTCGTTTTCTCTCCTTTGACCCAATGGATTAAAAGGAGAGGAAACGAGCGACTGCTCACGATTGCTAGGCTAGCGGAGTATCGGCTGAACGCACCCAATGGCAATAGTCTGGGCTGTTCAAAAATTCTTCTATTACCTGTATGCCCGACACTTCACGATTATAACGGATCATAAACCGTTGACGCAGATCCTGCATCCAGGAAAATCGTTGCCAACCTTTTGCATCAGTTGCATGGCAAACTACGCCGACTACTTGTCACATTTTGACTTCAATGTCATATTTAAACCAACGAAGCCAATATCAACGCTGATTATTGCTCGAGAATACCGGTATTCCCAACGAAGATCGCTACGCATCAAGTTACACTAAAAGAGAGAGAAGAGATAGAGTACGATGGATTCGACCATTTTGTGCTACATTAGATAAAGCAACTTCCGGTGGACGCTGAGAGCATCGCACGTGAAACGCGTAAAGACCCTCACTTGGGAAAGATTCTGTAGCAAGTGGAAGCAGGTCAAGACTTAGCCCGTTCTGGCTACAAAGCACCTGAGGCTAATTATAGACTAGGAAGCAACTGCCTAGTGTTAGAGCATCGAGTTGTCATTCCACCAGCGTTCAGAGAGACGATACTGAAGGAGCTGCACACTGCGCACTTAGGGATAGTTAAAATAAAGGGTCTGGCAAGATCCTTTGTTTTTTGGCCCGGCATCGACTCCGACATCGAGGGAGAAGCCAAAACGTGTTCTGAGTGTGCCAAAAACGCTCATAAACCGCCAAAGTACCGTAGACATCATTGGGAGTATCCCAAGAGTCCTACGGAGCTCCAGTCACCATCGTATCAGACAATGGTCCGCAGTTTGCAGCCATGGAGTTCAAATCATTTCTTCGAAGAAGCCGTGTTAAATTCCACAAGTTCATAGCACCGTATCACCCGGCTACGAATGATCAAGCCGAGCGTTGTGTCCAGACAGTAAAGGACGCATTAAAGACTATGGCGACAACACCAGGATCGCTACAACACAATCTTAATGAATACTTGTGCCAGTATAGAAAAGCACCCCATGCTACAACAGGCCAACGTCTAGCACAACTGTTTCTAGGACGCACAATACGGACCAGATTGGATCTAGTAAGGTCAGATGGAGCAGACGGGAAGGTCACGCGGAAGCGACAAGCTGTTAGTCCAGTCAATGTAGGAAAACACTTGGGAATTTCTCCTCGAAGTAAACTTTTTTGGAAAGTGTTCTTTTGAGTTTCAGAAAACATGTCCCAAAAGTTTACCAACAAAAACCCTGTGCTAAATGTTTTATTTAACAAAAAAAAACCGAAAAAATCGGTTTGTTTAGTATAACTAAAAAAACATTAATTTTATGAAAAAATAAACCATGCCAATCAAAAGAGGAGAAAATTTTACTAAAGAAACATATCTAAAGTTTTCTTACAATAATATTAATATGTGTAGGAGTAATAATTTTTTAATTAACGCTTCAAAGTGCGTCGATGCCGCGGCATGCCGTCCCGTGTGAAGCCGCCTGCAGAGTACGCAGGCGTGCGCGCACTTTTTAAAAAGAGTTGTAACTTTTGATTGGATCGATAGAATCAAATTTTACAAAAAGCATTCGAAAGTAGACGTAATTTACTAATTTTCAAGTGGTTTAGAAAAATTGAGAAAACATTTTGAGTATATTTAAATCGAATTTGAAGAGAGGCGATGTGAAATTTTTGACTTATTTTACTAATATCATTGCCATTTATTTTGCAGATTTTCACTTCTAAATTAAAGCATTATATTCTTAAAATATGTGCTGATAACATGCAATAAGTGAAAAAAATAACAAAAATTTATTTTTTAAAAGTTGGGACCTCAAAGTTGATAGTTTTCTTGAAATTTCGTTATTTCAAAATTGATCAACAAGTTTGACTGCAGATATTATTGCTTAGGAAATAGATATTGAAATTTAATAACAGGGTTTTTTAAAGCTGAAAATATGTACTTTAAGATGATACATGTTTTATTTGAAAAACAAAATATTAAGCAAGTGTATTTTTCAAAAAAGTACATAAAAATAAATGTCGAACTAGAAAATATGAAAATTTCTCTATTTTCAAAGTCAAAAAAGTAATAAAAAGAATTTTTTTTTTTTTTTTTGAGAAAATAACTTATGGGATGTTGTAGCTTGGGTCTTAGACTATAAGACTGTATAGGTATCGGAAATATTTTTTTGAATTTCTATTTTAGTGGCTACATGCAATTTAGTAAAAAAAAATCGTATTTACTGTCGTTTGTACTTGTTGTTCGGGGTAATCTTAGAAACTATTAGACCGATTTTGAAAGTATTGTATATGAAGTAGGGGTAGAATTTCCCGGGGAGTGCTATAGGGTGTATAGTTTTTCGTTACCGATCTTCTGAAAACCGGTTTTTCTAATTTCTTCAATTTTTTGGGAAATAATTGACGGAATCTCAAAGAATGATATATGAAACAGGGGTAGAATATTCCGTGAAGTGATATGAAGTGTATAATTTTTCGTTATCGATCTTTTTTGGAACCGGTATCCGAAATTTTTCCAACTTTTTGGGAAATAATTGACCAAATCTTAAAAAATTATATATAAAACAGGGGTAGAATTTCCCGGGGAGTGCTATAAACTGTATAGGTTTTTTCGGCTCGCGCGCGGAGAACCGCAGCGTGCGAGTAAGCGGATGCTCGCTGCAAACAAATGCTACGCTGTCTCCATCCTTTTTCTAACATTCTTTTGTTTTAAGAATTGTTCACATATATTTTTGAGGTTTAACAAAAAGAAATCAGTTTGCGAAGCGTCTTCGCCACAGAACAGTCTCCGTAATTGTTGGAAGTGCTTTTTACCCGCCCTTTTGAGTCGCCATTTTATAATATTGAAAATTTTACTTCAGATTCGTATTCAGCAACCTTGAAAACACATTACCTATGAATTTCATGATTATACATTTAACATTTTTTTAATTATAATCACTTTTTCACATTTTTCTTTAAAAAATCGGTTTTTTTGTTTTTTTTTCCAAAAATAGGTAAAAGCACATGAAATAAATAGGTAAACTTTTTCATTTAAAGGTAGAAAAATACTTTCCAAAAGGTTTCAAGTGAATTCATTCTTCGAGAACAAATTTTCAAATAACGCATGTTTTTACGTTACCTGGACTATGTAGCTGATTCAACGTTTCGTGAATTTCATTCCACACAAAAATTATATTTTCTATCAGGCAATCCTCGCATGGATAAGTGGATACCAGGTACAACTGTCACACGCCTGGGAGACCTCCATTATGAGATCGACTATCAAGGTAAACGATTCAGACGACATGTAGACCAGATGAGACCACGCTGGATTAAAGAAGATTGTTTGGGCAGCATTGTATCTACCATTATAAATATTTCTTATGTAAAAAAGTACGCTCTACAACTTTCATTTGAACAGTTTTGTCGAAAAATTAACCAGAAAAAAGTTGTGGCGTGTTTTATTAGAAAAAATACAACAAAAATATAGAAAAATTTGACTTTACGCCAAATTTCACTGTATTAATGATATATTTGACTATTTTATAATGCATATTCTTAAAATTTACACTTTTTTGAATAAAATTTGATACTAATAATTTAAATTTTATGAAGCCAAAGTGTGAAAAAAATCGAGAAGAATCCTACCGTACTCTATGTTCAAGACGCCATTTTGTATTGTTCCGACGCGCGAAATTTAGCGAACTTTCGTTTATTTACTTGTCACACAATGTACTTTCGATATTTCATAGTTAGAGCTGGTTATCTCGTCGTTGCCGGTTCGGTAACAAATTTCGGGGTGAGTTGCAGGCCTATATAATATGGGACATTTTTTATCATTGTCAAGCAGCAGTTCGGATCCGCCTTGTGTCACACTCTCGTCCGGATCAGACACTCCTCCAGCCAGCTCTCCGCGGAAACGGAGAAGAGCGCCGCCACCGCCAGCGCGTCGAAGGACAACTCGCGTAACTCGCGTACCTCAAAGATTTGTACCGGAAAGGAATCGCCGTCGTAAAAGGAGGGAGGAAATGTAGGATACGCGACTTTGAGCACACTGTATAAGACCCGACGTTGAGAACACTGTAATACGGACTTTCAGAACACACCGATTTTGGTTCCGCCTAGTAACATAGGGCGCTGTAGTCTTTCTTTTCCGGTCGCCTTTCCGGCCGCACTCACAATCAGTCTTCCGTTGTCTATCGCCAACTAACGACGTGTATAAGAATCAAATAAGAATAAAGAGTCGGTCGTGATTAAGTACGCGTATACTTCCTTGTCACCCGCAATCCCGATATTCCCGAAAGAAGTATCACATATCCAACATCGATATATTTCGAAAAATATTTAAGATATCAAAAAATGTTTTTTATAAAAGTTTTATAGTAAAATCTCCTCTATTCAACAACATTAATATAATATTTTATAAAAATAATTTTTAAACAAATTTTTTTTTAAATTTTATTAATGTGGTTAAATAAAGATGTTTTTACCATAAAACATTTATTTAAAACATTTTTTGATATCTCGAATACTTTTCGAAATATATAAAAAAAAGCAAAAAGCCGCTTTACATATGAGTGGTAATTTCACTCCTTAAAACCGTTTTTGAGCAGCAACAAAAAATTTCTAAATTCATCTTTTGATCTCTCCTACATAGAAGTTTCATTTAAATCAAAACTTTCGAATTCGCGAGGTTCCCTTATGAGTCAACAACATACCAAGTGGCAAATTTTCTTGACTGTCATCGCTACTAAATTTATTATTACTAGTATTACTACAATGACCACCATCACCTTCATTTTCTTTCTCTGAATCTTTACTTGAACTATGGAAACCGTCATTGTCATTATCATCAATGTCATGATTGATGCTATCATTAATATAAAATCATCTATTTGATTGACTGATAAGCCAGCATCATCACTATCGTGTATCAGCACATCTTCAGCATCTTCAATTACATTATGATCCATTGCGAACAACCTATCCACTTGTTTTTTAGCTGCTCTAAGAGCTCGCTTCTTTATAGATGCTGGTTTGTACTAAAAATGAGGTCATCCTTGAAATTAGGAAACTTAGGGTAGACCGGGGCACGTTGTCACACATTTTTTTCAATATTTTTTGTATTTTACATTCAATATTTAAGAGTACTTTGATATGCCAAAATTTCGAGTGAACCCTCAGCTTCAATTGGACAGTATCAAATTTTGTGTGATTGTTACTTTACAGTTGTTACATAACAATAAATAACGACAGGTCGCTTGTGACAACGTGCCCCGTGACCGGAGCACGTTGTCACATCAAATGTAATTGCATGCAAAATGTAATCCAAACTGTATACAACGTAAATATCAATATATTATAGTGCGCTGCAATGTAAAAAAGTAAAATCCTTCACAGAAACATTTATTTTATTTCAAAAAAGTACAAAAAACACGAAGTTTTCGTCTTAATCTAAATAGGCAAGAATTCCACTCAAATGCGCAACTTATTGATAAACATTTTTTCTTTTATAATCATGTCGGTGATTAAACATAAAATATTTTTATTCGTTATCGTCATCCGAAGATTCGCAATAGATTCCCATCAAATTCGTGACAACGTGCCCCGAGGGCATTTTTTTACTTCAAACAGCCTCATGTCTGACACGTTTGAGATATTCGTAAGGTTAGGTACTGCACGCGGTAGGTAAAAGTACATACTTTAAGATAATATAAAGGTCTATTCTGAAAAAACATAAGCTTCATATTCAGTACGTTGAATATTAGACAATAAAATTTTACTTACGGTTGCAAAAAGCTTTCAAGTTGATTTTACGTCAACACGGCTGGCGCAATCTCAAGACTGTAAACACACCAAAGATGGGCATACACTAACACGTTTTGGG